TCACCACCCTCCGCTCGACAATCCTCGCTGCTCCAAGCCATCTAGGTGGCGGCAACCACCAAGAGTAACAAGCGAATCCCGCAGTAAAACATGAATACCAAGTGCCTCTCGATGCAAACACTCAAGCAATGCACCTGGATTCTCTCCCAATCTCACAAAGATAATGAATCAATGATGGAGATGAGTGGGAGGACTTTGACTAAGCTCACAAGGTTGCTATGTCAATGCAAATGGCCAAGAGAGTGAGCTTGAGTTGGCCATGGGGCTTAAATAGAAGCCCCCACGAAATAGAGCCGTTGTACCCCTTCACTGGGCACAACACGGGGTGACCGGACGCTCCGGTCATATTGACCGGACGCTGCACCTCAGCATTCGGTCACGCGATGCGTGCCACGTGTCCCCTCTCATCAAATACAGAGCACTCGATCTCAACGGTCAAGTGATGATTGGACGCAGTGGCTCAAAGTGACCGGACGCTGAACCCCAGCGTCCGGTTGTTTCCAGTAAGCATCCAGAAACAACTTTTCACGATCGGACGCGTTCGGTCACCCTTGACCAGACTCACCCAGCATCCGGTCAGTCACCTTCATCATTGTGTGTTGCCACGTTAGCAGGACCGGTCACTAAAAGACCCAGCGTCCGGTCAGAGACCGACGCCAGCGTCTTCGCTGCTACTACTGACCGGACGCGCCGGTCCTTCTGAGACCAGTGTCCGGTCACTGCTTGACCAGCGTGACTAACTCTTTTTCACCTCTATCTTCTTCACCCTTGCTCAAATGTGCCAACCACCAAGTGTATCACCTTGTGCACATGTGTTAGTATGTTTTCACAAACATTTTCAAGGGTGTTAGCACTCCACTAGATCTAAATGCATATGCAATGAGTTAGAGCATCTAGTGGCACTTTGATAACCGCATCTCGATACGAGTTTCCCCCCTCTTAATAGTACGGCTATCGATCCTAAATGTGATCACACTCACTAAGTGCCTCGATCACCAAAACAAAATGGCTCATATCATTTATACCTTTGCCTTGAGCCTTTTGTTTTTCTATTTCTTCTTTTCAAGTCCAAGCGTGGCATTACCATCATCATGTTATGATTTTCATTTGCTTCACCACTTGGGATGTGCTACCTATCTAATGATCACTTGATAAACTAGGTTAGCACTTAGGGTTTCATCAATTCACCAAAACCAAATTAGAGCTTTCAGTTTTGTTCTTCCTACACGCACACGGGCTCCGCGCTCCGTGTTATGGTTAACGGGCTAGCTAGGGCTAGAGATTCAGCTACACACTAACTGGTCGGACGGTTTATATTAAATATAAATACATCTTCATAATAACACTAAGTGTTCACACAAACCTATCGCTGAGCTGCATACGTTATTTCATCACCATTGCTGATTCTTCTCTGGAGTTCATATATTTTTACATCATGTACTACCCATTCTACATATTTGTATTGCAGGATCATCGTCCAGGTGATTGGACCACCAGGTGCTCGGACTTTTCCACCGATCAACTGGTCGAACCGCTAGGTGATGGACTTCGTTGCCAACCAGTTGATTGGACTGTTCGCCGGTCATTTCTACTCAATGCTCACTTCGCTGCCGACCAGTTGACCAGACTGTTCGTCGCTCGTGCTTCATCATCAGCTGCGCTGGGGGCTTACCAGCTACGCCGGGGACTCCTCGGCGCTCGAACATTGCCAGCTACGCCAGGAACTCCTCGGTGCTCGGACATCGCCAGCTACACCGGGGACTCCTCGGTGCTCGGACATCGCCAGCTACGCTGGGGACTCCTTGGTGTTCGGATTCTTCGTGCAAGCATCGCCAGCTAAGCTGAGGACTCCCTTGGTGGTCGGATCTTGCTACGTCTCATCGGTGTGCTATCAAGCTGCTCCATGCTGTTCGGATCAGGGTGCTGATCTTGGACAACACGTCTGGGGTCTTGATACGTGCATGTCAGATGATGTCGGTAACCTTTCAGACTTCTTTTCTTTGACCCTGCTACAAGATTCATTCTTCATCTTCCAGCAGGCTCGGGGCCTAAGTGGCTACACTTCACCTGGCGGTGAATGTAGTGCTTATTTTTTGATTTACCCTCCTTATTGACGGAGTCTAAGTGGCTACACTTCTCCTAAGTGGATTTTTTTAAAATTTTATCTTAAGCCCCTTACATCCTTCTCGCAAGCCTTACTTGGCTAAATCCGAAGTCTCCTAACCAGTTAAACTGGTCGGCATTAACTTTCACCGCCTAGGTCACCAGTTAAACTGGTCGGCTTCGACCTTCACCGCCTAGGTCACCAGTTAAACTGGTCGGCTTTGATTTTCACCGCCCAGGTCACCAGTTAAACCGGTTGGCTTCGACTTCCACTGCTCGGATCACCGGTTAAACTGATCGGCTTCACGTCAAAGTGCTCAGACTTGTTCAAGACAGCGTTGCTCAAAGGATATAAGGTGCTCGGGGACTAGCTGTGGGGGATATACCCCCGGTATCCATAAGACAAGACATGTGCCACACCATCAGAGGTGGCCCAGCCCACAAGATCAAGGCGTGCACGGCACTGGTCGACGTGCACCACAAGATATTGTATAGTACCAAATAGGATACTTTTCTTGTAACCCTACCCCTCCAGAGTATATAAGGAGAGGCAGGGGTCTTCTAGTCGACATCTACATACATCTTATATTCAATACAATACACCAAAGACTCAGGATGTAGGGTATTACGTCGATCAGATGGTCCGAACCTGTCTAAATCGCTGTCTCTGCGCCTTGTGTTACCATCTAGTTCCTGATCACGCGCACCCCACCAACAAATCTACCATCGCGGGATACCCCATCGGTGGACTGCCGAGCATCTTTTGTCGACAGTTGTAGCCAAGTTGAGTCATATAAATATTTAAGAAATACAAGTGATATAATAGTTGGTGAGAGTGTTCTTTTTGACCGCAGGTCCTGTTAGACCAAAATGTGCTCATGATTCAAGATTTGAAGAACAATCACGGCCACAGTAGCTATTGGAATTAGGGTTTGTTTGATACAAGGGCTAATCGCTAATTAGCTAAAAATTCACTCTAGTACATCTAAACAGGAGGACTCCTGATAGGTAGAGATATTTTCTTGGCCTATTAGATAGCCAATCATATAGCTAATTTGAACCAATTTTTAACTCCAACCAGTAACGAACCATGTGTATCTAAACAAGAACTTAATCTCGATGCAATCAAATTAGTGGTTGGCACGCCTCCTTCCCTTGGATACATACCGAACAACGCAAGCATACCTGACGATCGAGTCCACGGATCGAACAGCTAGCTTACGCCACAAGAGATTCCGCTACACCAACCCAGCCCCAAGCCGTACTATGCTGCTCCCCGGTGACTTGCACGACAGACTAGCGCAGCGCGACGCGGCTCACGCGTGGAGACGCGCAGTCGCAGCCGCTTGGCTGCAGCCGGCAGGGGCGCTCGCGGCTCGAGCGGCGCTAACGATAATTACCCGCGGCCCTAATCGCAAAGGCAAACAGCCATAATCTATCCAGTACGTACAACTCTCCTCGCGTCCCGATGTCAGTACCGCATCGACGTGGCCGCTATTTTTCTTTTAAGAAACCGATGACGGCCAATTATCTATCTAAACGGCAGCATAGAAAAATGGTTGGTGACAGTACCTGAGGCATCATTTGGAGCAAACCGAGAACGAGAGACCCAAGCGCGCTACAGCTGCAGGAGCAGGACGATGAGCAGTGTGTGTGTGACTTGTGAGAGAGGCATCACTGAGTGAGCTCGTAGCCATAGGTATTCCCTAACTGAGGTAGGTTAAGTTTATGTTATGGCCGGGGCTCTCTAAAGAGTAGTAAAGTCTAACAATAAGCTAAGCATTTTGTGCAGCCCAGCCGCTTTGGTTGCGGTGAGAAATGGGTTCGTTTGCAGATCGGACAGCCTACGAGTACGATGCTACTGCGCTGTGTCTCCCATCATTTGATGGTTTCGTCCGGCCGCGCATGGAGCCCCAAACCCTACTGTTGCCGCTGCCTCTGATCGTACCATCAGCGGCTTTGGGGTTTGGGGTACCAATGTGAATTCTGCGTATACCAATGAGATTTTCGTTCGCTGAAGTTTATGCATGCATGGATTCGAAGTCAAGCTACAGGGAGAACGATTTGTTTTTTTCCCTCATCGTTTTTAACCGTACCGCTCCCTGTCAAGTGTCGAGTTACATTTTTTTTTTTTGCTATTTTTTGTTTAGTTTCCATTTCGTATACTTTTTTTTTGCCATTTCATATACTTTCATGGAGCAGGACAACAGAAAGTCAACAGCCCATTGGAACCAATGTTTGCTATGCCCAGAAGCCCAGTTTTTTTTTTTTTAAATGCCCAAGATTAGATGTGGGTCTTGCAGCGGCAGCGAAAGGAGGCCGCCACTGGATCCAACAAACCGAACAGGCCCATGTTCTAACTACACGCTCGGCCTTTGCTTTCCCCTCACCCAGCGGTACGGCCCAACTAAGCTTTCCCCAACCAAAGCGAGACCCAAGCAAGACACCCGTGCAGCCCAGCCCACCCGAGAGCTGCATCAGCGGCCCACCAGCACAACGGACGCCGTGCCACTCACGGCCGGTGGAGGCGGAGACGACGGCCTGGCCTGCCATCTTGCGCGGCGCAGCTTCGGCCACCGAGGCGCGGCCTCTTGAGTGAGTCTTGACCATCCTGCTGTACTTGCTACAGAGCGAAGGAAACTGCAGAGTGCTAGTACTTCCTACAAAGAACGGGCACCTGGCCGGGGGAGCCAGGCCACGTTTCTTGGCGCGGAAGAAGAAGAAGGAGAGAGAGAGAGAGAGGGAGGGGAAGACGGAGATGTTTATCCAGAAGGTGATTATTATGTCTCCAGACCTTGTTAATCGTGCAGATAATGTGCGAGCAGACATAATTTTGCTCTGGTTGCCTTCACGCGTGTGTGATCTGCGTTGATTGCGTTTTCGTGGGGGTTGCAGGCATGGAGGACGGCGGCGTTTGGGCTCTACGGCTTCACCCAGTTCACCAAATCCGGTTTCCTGTAAGCCTCATTCCGCCTCGGCCCCTCAATCATCTCCCCGACTCGCACAATTTTGTGAGACTGCGTTCCTTGCCGTCGAATGCTTAGTTTGTTGCGAGTCTGACCTTGTAGGAATCGATTGTTCCTTAGATTGAATTTAGCCTAGGATAGCTAAGCTGAGCGCCCCTTCCGATCCAAAATTTAGCATGGCACTGGCTGTTTAGTTTAATTTCATCAGGTTAAAAACCCCAATTTTCAAACGGTAATTGAAAGTGTTTTGTGGAACAGGTAGGATCAGCAAAACCTGATCCTCAAAATTGGCCGAAAGCTGTCATCAACATTACGGGGTTGAAAATTCGGCACTCTAAACGATTAAATTTTGTAGTGTATGACCGCACAATAGATCCCAGACGCCCCCCTCCCCTCTGAAACGAACATGACACTAGTTTGTTTGTTTTGTTTTGTTTTGTTTTGGTTTTTGGTGCATGATCAGGCTCATGTACCTTTAATTACAGGGAGCATGCAAAGAAATTCAGAGAGGAGGATATGCAGATCCGGTTGGATGGGAAAAATTGCCTGGTAACTGGAGCAAATTCTGGCATTGGTTTTGCTACTGCTGAGGGTTTGGCTTCACAGTATGGATCTATTCCTTGTTTAAATTGATGATTTGTTCTGGAAAAGAAATGGTCAATCTACTGATTTCATTATGTGGTTCCCTATAAAAAAAATATTGGTCTGTATTCTTCCAGTGGTGCTACTGTCTATATGCTCTGTCGTAACAAGGAGAGAGGGGAGGCTGCTCTCAACCAAATAAGATCCAAAACTGGAAATGCAAATATTCATCTGGAGGTATGATGCTCGCTGATTCTCCTACATGTTTGGAAGATTCAACTGTTCTTCATGATGTGTGTGTTGGTTATGAGAAAATAAGACTCAACACTATTATCATGTGGCAGATTTGTGACCTTTCATCTATCAATGAAGTAAAATCGTTTGCAACAAAGTTCACTTCAATGGATAAACCACTCCATGTCTTGGTGAGTATGCTGTTTCAAACACACTGCAGTTTTGCTTCTATCCCAGCTGTTTTTAGTTTTTATGTTAATGCTTTGAAGTTTCTCTAAATTAGATGAACCAAATGTTGGAATAAAACTACTATTTTGCCATCTAGGTAAACAATGCTGGCTTACTAGAGCACAAGCGTGAGACTACAGCAGAAGGGTAAGCGATATGTTGGTTTATTTGCGAACCGCCTATTAGTTTATACATCATATGAATAATTTTAAAACTAAAATCATATACTTGCCCTTTTCTTTTCCCTTTTTGGAACAGATTGGAGCTCAATCTTGCTGTCAATGTAGCTGCGACATACACTTTAACAGAGCTAGTTATGCCGTTATTGGAGAAAGCAGCATCAGATGCTCGTGTCATCACAGTTGCATCAGGAGGCATGTACACCGAGCCACTGAACAAGGACTTACAGGTAATTCTTTTCTATGTGCCTTCATTTGCCTTCGTTTACATTATATTAGCCTGTAGTCTGAAGAGATGAACCATAGTTCATGAAGTGGAGCAAGAAAGCCCTGTTTTTTTTTCTTTTTAAAGTTTGTGATGAAACATGCCATGAGGGTTCATTCGAGGCGAAGTTTGCAAACCTGGCAAACTAATGAAATAGCAGTGAACAGATCTGCAAATCAAGACATCAATTTGCATTGGATGTTGTGCAATTCCTTACTTGTTAGAGCTTCCAGATTTTGGATTGTTTTACACTTGTATCATTGAAAGTACACTTGTTCTGTAGGTTGTGACTTGTGAAGGGTTTATTACAAAAGCCACTTTCCTTTATATCATTGGAGCTGTTAAGGGAAGAAAGGGTGGAATTTGTCAGTTTTTGTTTGTTACGGAAAGTGAACTAGGATTTGAATGTACTCCTTTTCACTCCCATATGATATTGTCAATCATCACGCCTCTCATTTTTTACCCATGTCAGGCTCTTAGTCTTATCTCATTTCCATTATGCTTAATCTCATCATCTCTCATTGCTTAAAAACCTCAGTTCACCGAAGGCACCTTCGATGGGACACAACAATATGCTCGAAACAAAAGAGTTCAGGTCTGTCCAGATTGAACTATGCATTCTCTGCCCAATTCTGTATGAAATTGAGATATTATTATGCTAATGGAATCTCTGTCTCAGGTGGCACTCACTGAATGGTGGGCTGAGAAATACGGCAACAAGGGAGTTGGTTTCTATTCCATGCATCCTGGATGGGCTGATACGCCTGGCGTCGCCAAGAGCTTGCCCGGATTGTCAGAAAAGTGGGGTTTGCTGTCCTTGTTCATGCTTGCCCTGTTATAGTTCTGTGCTATCAAGTATTGATAATTTCCTGGTGCAATCCATCATTTCAGGTTGTCTGGAAACCTGAGAACAAATGACGAAGGAGCTGATACAGTGGTTTGGTTGGCGTTGCAACCTAAGGAGAAGTTAACCTCAGGAGCTTTTTACTTTGACCGGGCTGAAGCACCAAAACATTTGAAGTTTGCTGGGACTGCAGCTTCGCATGCTCAGATAAACTCCATCGTTGATAGCATTAGATCCATCTGTGGCTTCTCTGTTAAAGGTTGAGCTGCCAAAGCAAAAGTGATATATAGTTGATAATGGGACCTGTTAACGGACCTGTTAAAGGTTGAGTTGCCAAAGTAAAAGTGATATGTAGTTGATATAATGGGAGCATGAATGCATGATTTTGATTCATAAAACCACAAAAATATGCACCAGCCGGGAATCGAACCCGGGTCTGTACCGTGGCAGGGTACTATTCTACCACTAGACCACTGGTGCTTTGATGAAAAGCTTGGTAGGTTCATTACTACTTTGTTAGGAGCAGTCAAACGTGGACATTTCCAGTATTATCTAATAGTAAAAGGGCGTACCCAGTGCAGAGAGCTCCCGCCCTATGCGGGGTCTAGGAAATGGTGTCAGTGGCAAGCCTTACCCTCGCCTGTGCAATGCGAGGAGACCACGACTCGACTCGAACCCGGGACCTTCCGGTCACAGGCGGCAAGACTCTACCGCTTGCACCAGGCCCGCCCTTCCAGTATTATCTAATAGTAATTACAGTCAAATAGTGACTATCAAGTATTCGATGTGTCATGTGTGGATGAAATCTAGGTGAACAACAACTGCAGCTGTTTATTATTAGATATGAAATCCAACCAACAAAGATAAACCCAATTGGTTAGGAATCTGAATCTCATAGCACTTCCTCCTAAATTCATATAGAAATCCACATTTCAAATATCCTTTATGTAACAGAAAGCTGATCATCCACATCTATTGGCTTTCGATCTCAAGTTAACAAACTGTTACAAAAGTCACTGTAATTCACAGCTCCACAAGTCCCATGCATGCATGTCTTCTCAACAATCAAGAAGCACAAGCATGCTTTTGGAAGCTACTACTTCTACCAAGAAAAAAAAAACAGATAAAATGGTACAAACCTGGAAACAAAACGGAATCCTTGACAAAAGAAATGAAGCACGGATATGTATATAGAGAGAGAAGAACAACGTAACAAGAAGAGAGAGAGAGAGAGAGAGAGAGAGAGAGACTCCGACTGAATCATCATCGTTTGGTTGGGAGCGTCAAGATGCGGAGGTTGACGAGCACGGGCAAGACGAGGACGGCGATGAGCACGATGCTGGCAAGGATGGCGATGCACATCCACTTGCGGCTGCTCTTCTGGTACTCGCGCGCGGACTCCAGCTCGACGGTGCCCCTGCGCACGAAGGAGCTGGCGTGCGCGACGTGGCTCTCGATGTCGTTGAGCTGGTGGCCCTGCGCCTCGACGAGCGCCGCCATGTCGAGGAACACCTGGTGCAGGTCCATGAGGCTGCGCTCGATGTCCTTCACGGCGTCGTGCCGCTCCTGGATCTCCGAGATGGTGTCCATCACCTGCCCGCGCCCTTGCTCCTGGATCGCCTTCTGCAGGAACGACTCGCTCTCCCCGGACGAGATGAGCGCCTCGATCGTGCTGTCCTCCGGCTTCTCCCCCGTCACCGTGTAGTACCGCCGCGCCACCGTCTCCTTGTACTCCGCAGCCATCCTCGCCCTCAGCCCCTGCATATAATTGCGTACTTCGTTGCAGGACACGACAATGGATGCATGAACAAACAACTTGTATGGTACCGTACCTGGAAGTCGTCCATGAGGTCCTTGAGCTTCTTGCCAAGGCCGGCGACGACGGAGGTGCGGGTGCGGTCGGTGGAGGACCCCGGCCCGCAGCCGGGCACCTTGCGCGAGGTGGCGTTGGAGCGGTCGAGATCCTCGAGCTTGCCCTTGATGGCCTTGGCGCGGCGCAGCACCTGCTCGACGTCCTTGTCCATGCGGGAGCGGAGGGACTTGACGGTGCGGGCGTCGTGCGCCGTCTTGGTCTCCTCGTTGGTGGACTGGAGGCCCTTGTACATGCCCTCCAGCCCGCGCATGTCCTCCTTCACCGCCTCCACGTCCTCGAAGAACTTGTCCAGGTTAACCACGCTCTCGCCGCCGGCATCCGTGCCCCCCGCCGACGTCGCCGGGCTCGAGTCCGCATACTTCTTGAACGAGCTCGACGAGAACAGGTCGTTCATCTTGGATTGGAGACAACACAATCTACCACCAGGGAAGCAGAAATCTAGGAAATGACGGAGCAAGATCGAGCTACAGCGAGTTTAGTTTCAAAGAATGGCCATGGCTTGCCTTCCTAGATGGATATATGGCGTCCAAGAAATCAGCAAATGGCGGGAAGTGGTTGAAAGGAAGGCCTCCCTCCCCTCTAGGAAGCAAGCGTTTCTCTCTCCCTAATTGTGGCAATACGGCATGCATGGTCTCGCCAGTATCTTGCTCCTGTCATTCCGACGGCAGGTGCCGAGAGTCGTTTTCTCACGTGTGCGACCGACCGCTTGCACTAGCATGGCCACACACAGCAACCTTTTTTTTTATAACCAAAAGGCAGGCGACTAAGGACATGTTTGACAGCACTGTCTCAGGCTCATCCTTGATGTGCTAATCTATCCGAGGTCCACACTCTATTTTGTGTGACCAACCAAGTGAAGATTTTACATTTTGGTGGCTCCCATGCTTTCCAAAACAAGCTCTTAGTATGTAGATGACTTTTGCGTGGATCCTATAAACTGAGCCTTGTGTGCAGAGGATGTTGTGAATTCATCGTTTGGGGGTCCAGTTCTGTGTAATTTGATCCTCAATATCTGGTGATAGTTGAACCCCTCGAAGGGCTACTAGTCAAAGTGGGACATGTTCTTGTAAGAGTTGGGGTGAACTATTGCGAGTAGGGTTACTGAAATGCAATAGAGCGCCCGCGGAGCTTATTCCTCTCGTCTGGTTGGTGGTTTTTTCCCGTGGATCCCGCGCTGCATGTGTACTTTTCCGCGCTGGAGCACCCCGTGCATGTAAGACTCACGGCTCCGCTCCGTCGGCTCCGTTTCTTCTGGCTCCGCAGCCTCAGACTTGGCTCGTTTCGTCTGGCTCCTATTTCAGTATCACACAAAGGGCCTGTTTACATGCCAAAAAATTTGGCAAAATGATGTTGTAGCAGTTTTAGTTGTTATTTAGCAATTAGTGTTCAATTATAGTCTAATTAGGCTTAAAAGATTCGTCTAGTGGATTTCGTCTAAACTGTGTAATTAGTTTTATTTTTTATTTATATTTAATACTTCATGCAAGCATCTAAAGATTCGATGTGATGAAAAATCTTGAAAAATTTGGTATTTTGGGAGGGAACTAAACGGTAAAAAAAAAATACTGCTACAGTACACCCTATCCCATCGCTCCTGCGCAGTTCGTACAGTAGCTGTTGGGTCAGCTGTGGTCACATCTTGTGGGACACCACATACTCCGTACTTGCATTTCGAATTTTTTTATACCTGCAACAGAAGTACTCCGTAGTATAGGACAGGGGTGACTCCGACACTACATTTCAAATTTTTTATTCATTCACGAAGTACTTCATCCCTTCCAAAATATAGGACATAATTAGCATTATTAAATAGACCATTAAATTTATTTTTATAACAAATTTATTTGAATATACAAATATTGCTAATATTTTTTTATAAATCAAGTTAGCCCATGTTTAATTGGGAGAAAGTTAGAAATTTAGCTACTGTAGCACTTTTGTTTTTATTTGGCAATTAATGTTTAATCATGGACTAATTAGGCTCAAAACGTTCGTCTCGCAATTTTCAACCAAACTATGCAATTAGTTTTTTTCATCTACATTTAATGCTCCATGCACGTATCGCAAGATTCAATGTGATGGCTACTGTAGCACTTTTTGGAAAAAGTTTTCGCGAACTAAACAAGGGCTTAAAGTTAAAGTTAAAATAACCATATTGCAAAAATATGTTCTATGGTATATCTAATGATACTAATTTGATGATAATTTTTAACTCGTTTTTCTAGAAATTCGGTTAAAGTTTAAAAAATTTGACTTAAGACAACTTTGAAAATCTATTTATTCAAGGACAAAGGGAGTACTAACCCCTTTAGAATGCAATTATTGCGAAAAGTTAGAATTTAGTCGATGTTCAAACGGTTTGACTTCTCGAAAAACGAGAATTGCATTTCTTTGTGGACAGGGGAAGTACATATTAAAATTCCTGGTTTCCAAAAAGGAAATAAAAGTCAATAATGAAGGATTGTAAACTGAATTTAAGATACTGTCAAAGAAGTCTCCCTCAACGGATTCAGCAGAAGTTCAGGGCTTGTCCTGTGAATAACAATAAAAACGAAGATGGATTAGTACGGGCAAAGAGATATATTTGCATGTGTTTAGAAAATTCACAAGCAAAAATGAATTGTGTTGACTGTGTTCGGCTGACCCAAAAAATTCACTGTAGCAGCTGATGGGTACTGTTCATGGATGAATCTGTAAGAGAAAAATACTGTTTCGGATGAAAAAAAAAGGTGACGGTGATGTGCTGTTTGGCAATCTGCAGCACGCTCTAGTGTTTTGGTGTTTGGCCCATCTTTTATGCCAACAAGGAATGCATATAATTTTTTCACGCGAACGCAGTTCTACACGAAGTCACGAAATCCACACTACACGAACAACATCACAACCAATGCAAATAGCGCCGCCAACAATAGAGCTGGCGCCGCCCGACCACTGGCGCTGATTATCTGGACCGGGAACAGGCAGCCGCGCGTGGAGGCGTTCTTGTCTGTGATCTTGGCGAGCCCGTCGAAGTCGCAGGCGCGCACATCCTGGTCCTGCATCTGGAAGTACATGTTGAACGCGTAGGAGATGTTGCTCTTCTCGTCCAGCCCGTTGCAGGAGCAACCGTAGCCGAGCGCCGTGCAGTCGCCGCTCGCACATGCATACTGGATGTTGCCCGGCAGCTTCGACTTGTCCTTGGCCCCGTCGTCGAACACGCACCACTGGCTCGGGAGGTACTTGACGTCGGTAACTGGGGAGAGGAGCTTGTCATGGCCTTGCCCCGTGAGGTCTATGGGGAACTTGGGCTTGCCGTCGTAGGTGAAGATGCCCCAGTGCCGCTCGAAGTTCCCCGGCGCGATGCTCTTCATGTCCTCGTCGAATAGCCCGAACAGGTAGACCTCCATCTTGC